GGATGATAGCTACAATGTTTACCCTATTTACCATGTGGCCATGCCTTTGTTCTGACCCTGAACCAGTTCTTTCTACAATACAGTGGCTGCCCCTTTATATCTCTTCAGTGCCCCACAAGATTAAGTCTGAGTTCCTTATTCCATCATATAATGCCTTTCACAACTGACCCCAGTTTATCTTTGCAGTCTTACCTCTCACCGTTTACTCTCATTTATTCTTGGTCTCAGGACCTCTTTAATACCATTAAAAGTTTGTTTGTTTGTTTGTTTGAGATGGAGTCTCGCTCTGTCGCCCAGACTGGAGTGCAGTAGCACAATCTTGGCTCACTGCAACCTCCGCCTCCTGGGTTCAAGCGATCCTCCTGCCTCAGCCTCCTAAGTAGCTGGGATTATAGGCACTCACCACCACGCCCGACCAATTTTGTGTTTTCCGTAGAGTTAGGATTTTGCCACGTTGGCCAAACTGGTCTCGAACTCCAGACCTCAAGTGATCTGCCTGCCTCAGCCTCCCAAAGTGCTTGGATTACAGGCGTGAGCCACTGCACCCGGCCCTGTTTAAGGGGCCTGTAATCTCAACACTATGGGAGGCCAAGTTGGGTGGATCACCTGAGGTCAGGAGTTCAGCACCAGCCTGGCCAACATGGTGAAACCCCATCTCTACTAAAAATACAAAATTAGCTGAGCGTGGTGTTATGCGCCTGTAATTCCAGCTACTCAGGAAGCTGAGGGAGGAGAATCGATTAAACCTGGGAGGCAGAGGTTGCAGTGAGCTCAGATTGTGCCACTGTACTCCAGCCTGGGCTACAGAGCGAGATTCCGTCTCAAAAAAAAAAAAGTTATTGAGGGCCCCAAAGAGCTTTCTTTTTATGTGTTATTGTTAATGATATTTATTTAATTAGAAATAAAAACAAATTTTAAAAATAATTCATTTAATAAATCCATTACTTAAATAGCATTTAAGTAGCATTTTTATGAAAATAACATTTCACAGAAAAGTTTGCAGAATGACATTTTTACATTTTTGCAAATCTTTTTGATGTCTGATTTGATAGAAGACAACTAGATCCTCATATCTATTTCTGCATTCTCTTTATTGTAATATGTAATTGTGGTTGAAGGTATATGAAGAAAATCTGTTATTATACAGATATTTAATTGAAAAATGGAGATTTGAGTATCTTAATAGTGTTGCCCTTTTTTTTAACTTCTATTTTAGGCTCAGGGGTACACGTGCAGATTTATTATAAAGGTTAACTCATGTCATGGGTGTTTGTTGTACAGATTATTTTGTTACCCTGGGTTCTAAGCCTAGTATCTAATAGTTATTTTTTCTGATCCTCTCCCTCCTCGCCTTTACCCTCAAGTAGGCCCTAGTGTCCATTGTTCCCCTTTTTGTGTCCATGAGTTCTCATCATTTAGCTTCCACTTATAAGCAAGAACGTGCAGTATCTGGTTTTCTGTTCCTGTGTTAGTTTGTTAAGGATAATGACCTCTAGCTCTATGCATATTCCCACAAAAGACGCACTGTCACTCTTTTTCATGGCTGCATAGTATTCCGTGGTATGTATGTACCACTTTTTCTTTATCCAGTCTGTCATTGATGGGCATTTAGGTTGATTCCATGTCTTTACTATTGTATAGTGAGTGCTGCAATGAACATTCGCATGCATGTGTCTTTTTTTTTTTTTTTTTGAGACGTAGTCTCGCTCTGTCGCCCAGGCTGGAGTGCAGTGGCTGGATCTCAGCTCACTGCAGGCTCCGCCTCCCGGGTTTACGCCATTCTCCTGCCTCAGCCTCCTGAGTAGCTGGGACTGCAGGCGCCTGCCACCTCGCCCGGCTAGTTTTTTCTATTTTTTTTAGTAGAGACGGGGTTTCACCGTGTTAGCCAGGATGGTCTCGATCTCCTGACCTCGTGATCCGCCCGTCTCGGCCTCCCGAAGTGCTGGGATTACAGGGTTGAGCCACTGCTCCCAGCCGACTTTTTAGTAATAGCCATTGATTTGTGTGAGATGGTATGTCACTGCCGTTTTGACGCGTTTCTCTAAGGATCAGCGATACTGAGCTTTTCTTCATATGCCTGTTTGTCTAGCACTTTGAATAGCTTTCCCCCATTTAGAAAATATAGATTCTCTGAATTACTTGGGTTTTCCAAATATTGACCCATTTCAGTACAAAATATTTTTAATCACATTTTTAATATCACTACCTATCTCATCAGAAAAGTCTTTAAGTATTGGGGCCAAGTTTGGTGGCTCACACCTGTAACCCCAGCACTTTGGTAAACTGAGGCAAGAGGATAGCTTGAGGCCAGGAGTTCAAGGCTGCAGTGAGCTGTGATCACACTGCTACACTCCAGCATGGGCACCAGAGCAAGACCCTGTCTCTAAAAAAAAAAAGTCTTTAAATATTGGAAAACTATCAGTCATGGAGGATTTGAAATTCTAGTTTTCACTAAACACTCAAATTTTATCATTGGCAAAAAATAGTTGTTTTTCTGGAAGTAATAGGTTACTTATTATAACGTGCCAAATTGCTGAGTCTGCAAAGCCATATTGAATATCATCATTCCTTCATATCAAAATGTTACTCCTTGAAAAGATCCTTACAGCTTCTATTGCTTCATAGCTTCTGCTTATAGTGTTCTGGGTATCCATCAGCTTTGCTGCCACCCTACAGCCTCTCAGTGTGCCTCACATTTAGATACCTCCAGAGAGAATCTGATTGGATTCTCCAGCCATTATCTAATATAGGGATGCATGGCAACCAGTGCATAAGGAACCACTTGTGGCTACTTACTCAGAGGAGACTTCAGATCTAGGAGACAGTCAGAGTACCATGTCCAGAATGTATACCATGATGAATTAGCAAGATGTAGTTTTCAATACATGGATGCAAAGTGATTATGGTATGAGAATTTTTTAATCTCAGATTTTGTAATTTGCTTTTACAAAGCACCCATTTGACAGCACCTTGTTTAAAGACCAAAAAAAAGCATATCCTTAAAACTGTAATCACATTCTTGGTGCTCCCTTCACTTTGGGTATTAATACTACTCTGAGACTGCCATGGGACCACCTGTTCCAAAAATATTCTTTGATGTGGATTGAGTAGTTTTTACTGTGAGTGTTCTATCAAGATAAACATAGAATTTATTGCCTTTCACAGTAATAAGAAGATAACATTGTTAAAGAGGGTTTCGGCCAGGCATGGCAGCTCATGCCTGTAATCCCAGCACTTTGAGAGGTCGAGCAAGGCGGATCACAAGATCAGGAGTTCAAGACCAGCCTGACCAACATGGTGAAACCCCATCTCTACTAAAAATACAAAATTAGCCAGGCGTGGTGGCACACACCTGTAATCCCAGCTACTCAGGAGGCTGAGGCAGGAGAATCACTTGAAACGGGGAGGTCTCACTTGCAGTGAGCCGACATCATGCCATTGTACTCCAGCCTAGGTGACAGAGCAAGACTCTGTCTCAAAAAAAAAGGCCGGGCGCGGTGGCTCAAGCCTGTAATCCCAGCACTTTGGGAGGCCGAGACGGGCGGATCACGAGGTCAGGAGTTCAAGACCATCCGGGCTAACACGGTGAAACCCCATCTCTACTAAAAATACAAAAAATTAGCCGGGCGTGGTGGCGGGCGCCTGTAGTCCCAGCTACTCGGGAGGCTGAGGCAGGAGAATGGCGTAAACCCGGGAGGCGGAGCTTGCAGTGAGCTGAGATCCGGCCACTGTACTCCAGCCTGGGTGACAGAGCGAGACTCCGTCTCAAAAAAAAAAAAAAAAAAACAGATTTCTTTGGTTGACTAACAATTTTTCATTGTTCTAATGGGTGTCTTCCTCCTTCACAAGGGAGGAAGATCCTCCAAAGTTTCTTTGAGTATAATCTTATAACTGGTGTTTTTGTTAAGAAATAATTAGGAGTCACCAGGCACTCCATTGTTTAAGTTCACAAATTTTAAACTTTTTTTTTAAGATTTACTTCCTCATTTTGGTTGGTACAGAAGGCTAAAAAGTGTATTTCTGCCATCTTAGGGGGATAGAAGGTTTGGCAACTCTCTCTCCTTTGAAGGTCCTGGAATCATTTATTATAATATATACCATTTAGTATACATGTTGGCTGTCTGAATGGGAACATACCCATGAGCATGCACATGTGCTTACAAACATGTTCATTCATTTAGTAAAATTAAGAATGGAAGCAGGCTGTTTTTAGAAAAAAATATTTGAGGGCTGAGTTCCCTCTTTCATTCATCCCATGAGGGTATTACTAGGGGGTTTAATATATTTGGGTTAATGATGAGGGGAAAAAAATAGCATCCTTTTGGGGAAATAGAACCAGACACAATTTAAAGTGGGACCCAAATCGAAACATAATCCTTTTATGAAACAAATGTTTTATTTTCTGTTTGTCACATGGATGCCATCTGAATTTTAAAAGAAATCTAGGCTTCCTCTTATCCTTTATGGTTTTTTTTAAAAGCAAGAAGTCAGAGACTTTGTACATCTTGATTAACTCTTATGTTTGAGCCATGTGTCACAAGTAATTACATTATAAATATTCTAAAGAGTAATTCGTGCACACTCTAACACTCTAAGGGCTTTTTAAATTTTACACAGCTTACCTTTCTTTCTGAAGAAAGTCCTCACAAAGATAGATTATATCAGTTTCTCCATTGATGATGTATTCCAGCAATAAACATAGTCCTAGAATTGTAGAATGTGCACTGCTGCACTCTGTCCTGACAGACAGTAGACAAGGTTTATAATTTTTTTCTATGGGGCACTAAAAATACCCTAGTATTTCCTTTAACTTTTTGCACTGACAGGTCTAAAGCAAAGCCACAGAAGCTGCTTTTGCTCAGTAAGTATTGTTAATGCTGCAGTGCATATTAAAATTTCAGAAAACCCAATTATATACTGTCTAGGTGTGGATAGCTCTCATTGTTAGTATCCTAAATCATCTAAAGGCTTGTTTTCTTTCTTTTTTTTTTTTTTTACAGACCTAACTACCATAATGAATGCTGCATATTAAGAGAAACCACAAGAAGGTTATATGTTTGGTTGTCTAATATTCTTGGATTTGATATGAACCAACACATAGTCCTTGTTGTCATTGACAGAACCCCAGTTTGTATGTACATTATTCATATTCCTCTCTGTTGTGTTTTGGGGGGAAAAGACATTTTAGCCTTTTTTAAAAGTTACTGATTTAATTTCATGTTATTTGGTTGCATGAGGTTGCCCTTAACCACTAAGGATTATCAAGATTTTTGCGCAGACTTATACATGTCTAGGATCCTTTTATCAAGGCAGTTATGATCATCATTTTCCTGCCTTGACCCCACCATCACCAAACACTCAGTTAAATATAAATTAACATTTTTTAGATGACCACTCAACATAATGCTTAAGAATGGAATTTCCTCTCTTTGACAGACCCAGGAATTAATTCCTAAATACATAATGTTGGTATATTGAAGACGAAATTAAAATTGTCCTTCAGTTTTGAGGCCATGTGTAAAGTTTAACCATATTGTAAAATATCTATTCCGTATTAGAAATAGCTAGTTGACAGCTTATACTTCTCAAAATTCATATTGTTATGTACACAAACTAAGTTTCTATATGTGAAGTTAGTGAGTCTTTTTGTGTTACTCCAAAATAAAGGCAATGATTTATTTTTTCCCAGTGCCAATACAATTTTGAGCTAAGCACTCAAGGTGGATACTTCACATTTTAAAGCTGGAATCAGCAACAGCCCTATGGGAAACCAGACAAAACATTGACTTTTAAATGTAGACTTTTAAAATAAACTGTTTTCTTTTGGAACTACAATTAGAATAGTTAATATTCATCCATAAACCATTATTATGTGTACATTATTGTTGCTATTGTGATAATAGAGAATTTTATTTATTTTTATGCCAGCTTATATTGTGAGAACACATTTAGTCAGTTTGGGTTTTATCAATCCTGTTAATGCTTGTCCTTGGAACATCTTTCGCGTATTCAAGGTTTGTAGTTGAAAAGTTTACTGTAAAAAAATCAAAAACAAAAAAATGTATTGTTTTTACAGAATAAATTTATTGGAATGTGTACTGGGAGTAAGATTTGAGGTTGTAAGCAAACTAAGTTAGTGTAATTTGGCTTCATATATGTAATGTGAGGTATTAATGTAATTCATATATTAAAGCAAAAATTGTTCACAGCAAGCTGACAATAGAATCAAGTGCAGGTGAGGGTTTTTCTTTCTTTTTTTTTTTAAACACTCGCTGGGTTTTAGATTATTTGAAAACACTGTAGGGGATGAAGGGGAGATGACTACATGATTTGCTTACACATGCATATTTACCAGCCCTGTGGACCCTAGATTTTGTAACTTGATATTATCCATGCATTGATTTGTATCCCATTTTCTTTTGGTTTTCTTTGTGAGAGCTAATAAAAACATGAGAAAATGTGAGCAGACCTAAAAGCCTAGGGCCATTAATGATGATGATGATGATGATGATGGCAGCTAAGGGTATGAAAGCACCAGTCCATTGATCATTCCAGGGCACAGTGAGGAGGTGGCTGTTTGTATTTTTGGTGTGTTTCTTTCATTTAGTAAATACTGATTTTCTCTAGTATATTCAACATACAATCCCAAACATGGAAAGTTCATAAAAAGATAGTAGGGATGTCAATCTAATACTTTTTCTTTAAAAGATACTTTTTAATTTTGAATATTTGAATGTATTTTTAAATTAATGAAATTTAATTCATCAAAAGGCCTCTTCATTGCTCACACTGAAACATAAGGGGAATGTAGATGACGTTTTGAATTGGAATATACAACTCACAAATTTTGTTTAAAAGCAATTTTATGTGTATATATGAAATGTTTCAAATTTAATAAGATTTGTCTTCATAAGAGGCCAAAAATAATTTTATTAAAAATATACACAGAAATACAATAGAAATATTTTCAGCCACCACTAAAACAAGTGTTCATTAAGGGTAGAGATAGTTATTGATCCCTATTTAGCTATTTAAATTCACACAAAAAATTTTAGTAAGAGTAATTTTCTTAAAACAGCAGCAAATAATGAACTTTCCTTGGGAAAACATTTTTCAAACAACATTTACAAATATTCTGATGATTTGCCTTTTATATTGAAGTTAATAATGAAGCATATTCATCTTATTTGCAAAAGTTATTTCTCCAGTCTGCATTCACTGTTTTGAATTTTTTAATATGCACAGGCCATATTCTCTATATTCTCTTTTGAATAATTTCATGCTCACTACTGTTGACACTAAATTGTAATTTTTTACACTTACAATTATTTCATATGTCAAACAGAATATTGAGATGGACGATCAAGTTTATTCACAAATGATTTTGAATATATTTCTTTAAACAGACTTTCTCAAGAATTTCCATTTTGCTTCAAAAATTTACACAGTACCATATAGCTCACACATACAGTGCAGAGCAAGAATGTACATATTCTTAAGTATTCATGTATGAGAAGAGAATGAAATGGGACATAATATCAGTACCAGTATAACAAAAGTTAGTAATTTAGAAAGGAACATGAAGTAATATTTTTATTCCACTTTTTCTTCTGCCTTTGTTTTTATGAAGAACTCTGGTTTGTAGATACAACGATAGACCAAGAGCTGAGGAAGAACTCCATATGCTATGTTTAATGCTAAAAAAAGGATTTTTGCTTCTTCGGGGACTCTGTAGACATAAGCAGTTCTAGCATGAAGAGAAGCACCAATGTGAGAAAACTGAGCCTGTTGCATAAAAAAAAAAAAATGGGGTAAGCATGAAACATGTTCAGTTGGATGCACGATGAGTTCTGAATGGTTCATTCAGGCTACGTTTCTGTGCCCTCAAAACCAGTCTCACCTGCAGGCAAAATACCTTCAAACAATCCAGAGTCTTTAATGTGAGAGTCTTTCATTAAATTTAGTCTTTGATTAAATTTAGGGCCATTCTTGATATGACTGTTCAAATAAAGTAGATATTATTTCGTGTAGTTTTATCATGCCAGTTGTGTTTTTAACCATCAAGTGCCCTTTACCAAACATTAGTGGCTCAATCTAATAGAAAAATCTGAATAAAATCTCAATTTTTTTTCTGATTTGCATTCTGGAGATCCTACATAGAGACTCAGTTGTGGTTCACAAATTGAGTTCCAATAAAAATGAGGAAAGTGCAGAGTTTTAAAAAACTAAAATATTTTTAGCATAACAAACTATTGAAAGGGAAGCACTGGGGGGACCTCAGCTTCATTTATCAGTCTTTCATCTACTCCTTGGAGCAAGAGCTTCTACCCTTTCCCTATGTGTTTTTTGTTTATTCATTTATTCATGTATTTGTTTTTTCTGCAGCTTTTAAAATATTAAGGGTTGTTTGTAAGATAAGGTCGTTACCAATTTGGGTGGAGGTAGGAGTACAGTTGCTCTTTGTAAAATGGCAAATGTACATGCAGGCAACCTTTTTAAATCAAATTATAATTTATTTGGAAGTATGACTTGTCAGCATTATCTGCATTTGCAAAATGGCCTCCCTCTCTACTTATATACTTGTTCAGAAAACACATTCAGAATGTGCCAACTGGTCTTTTTTGATATTTTTTGCAAGCACAGAGGAAAACCGTATTGGAAAGGGTAAAACAGACCACAGCAGGATTAAAAGCTCCTGTCAGAAAATTTCCTCAGAAGGCTTGTATCATTACAAAATGTACCCCTGGAGTCTGCATTTTCATATCTTGCTGAAATTCAAGATATACATGAATAAAGGATTGGGAATCTAAATGTATTAAGTAGTAAATTATCAGTTCATCAGGATCAAAGAGACAAAAGACGGAACTATAGAGAAGGCATAGAAGTAACAAGAATGAAGAATTAAATAATTTGCTTTAAATACATATAAGTTATTTTATATTTCTTTCCGTATGAAACCAATGTATTCTGCTGAGTGATTCACAGATAAAGGTGTTTACTCATCACTTGACTTCACCATGGCAAGAAAAGGACAAGTTTTTTTAAGTAGCGTCTTTATGAATTTTTTATCAGTGGCAAATATTTTAATGGGCTGCATTTTTACAAATTCCTGGTATATTCTAGAGACCTGTGGTACATGTTTGCTACTTTGGAAATAGAAATTAGCATGATGTATTGCCAAGGACCAACACGTGGATTGTCTACATTGTGATCCATGAGGCACTGAGAGGACTCGGCCCTCAGATACACCTCCCCTGGGTAGATGCCCAGGCAGAACCCAGCAAATGTATTTGCATCTCCGGGCTCCAAGGGCAAAAAACCTTGAGAGTAAAGGGCACTTTCAGGGCTGCCCTGAGGAGGTGCATTCTGGACATTCTAGGAACTCTGAGCAGGAACATGGCTCCCATACTATTTTTCCTTAGGGCCTGTTTTGAATAATAGTGTTTTTCTGAATATATAACCAAGCATTTTCTTCTGGACTAGAAGCCAAATTCGATCCCTGGTTTTCAGAAATGTGGGTTTGGTGGTTCTATCTTTATAGATACTTATACACATCACAAAATCACCAAATTTGGGGAAATGCCAACCATACTTTAAGAGAATAAAGATGAGCAGTTATGCCTACTTGCATAGGGAAGCCTGCATAAAAAGTCAGTGATTCCTTAGGCTCTTTTCCTGCACTAACCAGTGCAGTTAATACCTCATTTTCATGAACAGCAAACTCGTGGCAACATTAAATGAATCATGGCCGGGCACAGTGGCTCATGCCTGTAATCCCAGCACTCTTGGAGGCCGAGGCGGGTGGATCACCTGAGGTCAGGAGTTCAGGACCACCCTGGCCAACGTAGTGAAACCCCATCTCTACTAAAAATAAAAAAAATTAGCCGGGCGTGGTGGTGGGCGCCTGTAATCTCAGCTACTCGGGAGGCTGAGGCAGGAAAATTGCTTGAACCTGGGAGTGGAGGTTGCATTGAGCCAAGATTGCACCATTGCACTCCAGCCTGGGTGACAGAGCAAGACTCTGTCTTAAAAAAAAAAAAAAAAAGATTCATGTCCTTAGATTGTAAGCCCACTGGGCAGGTACTGTGTCTAATGTTTTGTGTGGCACCTATCACATTACTAGAGCTCAATAAACATTCAACAACAATGGACTTGTGACTGTCAAAATACATGAAGGGTCTACAAAGCTTTTCTCTATTTTTGTATGTATTTTAGTAGGCCTCTTTATTCAGAATTATTAAGGCACAAACATTTTAACATTCATAATCAAAAGAGGCATTTGTATGTGAGAGAACTCTAAGGCCAGTTGTGTGCAGCTCCCAGTACTGCTCATAGTCCTAATGGATGTACTTATGGTAGCCACACTTCTAGCTGAGTGAGTACCTGACCATAGCTTTCTCCTAAGGCATAAGATGTTAAGTGTTCAGGAGGAAGTTCAGATAAACCTCAGTCTCACCTGAGGAGGTTTCTCTTCCCAAGCACATAGCTAATAAGGGGCTGCAGGTTGTCTCCTGGGTGGTGTTCCCAGCAGCACGAGACCTCTCATGTCAGGACCTGAAGAGCTCAGCCTGAGCCTGTGCTGGGGTCAGGTGGCTCAGTGAACTCAGTGCTGCTGAATTAACAGGAGGCCCAGGATTACAGATATGAATTGTTGATCCTAGAAATTTATCCAGAATTTAGCAATGTGAGGTTGAGTCTCTAATAATTTTTCTTCTACTTCATTCTAAATCATTTTCACCTTACAGAAATAATTAAGAGATATATCTGATTTTTTTTTAAAGGATGGAGTGGCAAATGAGACAATAAGGTGAACAAAGGTTAAATTTTAAGAGCTGTTTTCTTACATGTATAGCGACAATCTGTAAAGGATAACTAAAAAAGTTAATGCTTTTTCCAGAAAGAAGAACTGAAAGAGTGTTATATGTCCATGTGAATGTTATAGGCAGAAAACTTAGGTGATCATTGGGATGACAGCCAGGGTCTTTTGCTAATACAGTATAAATAGCTAATCCAGAACTGTATTATCTTTTCTTAGAGTTTTTTGAGCAACATAGCTTATTGGTTCACAACACTGACTTTGGAACTAGACATCCAGAGTCAAATCACAACTCCACTACAAACCAGCTGTATGGCCTTGGGTGAGGTGTGGAACCCACCTCATAGGTTGTTTTGAGGGTTCAGTGAATTGATGTTTGTGATATGCTTAGACAGTGCCAAGCACTTGGGGCTATTCTGTAGACACAAATACAAAACTGAAATACCCATTCATGATCTGGTGCTTGACTCTGTAGAAAACCTGGGCCTTTGTTTTTAGATCCTCTTGACCTTTTGACCTTTTTACTGTTAAGTGTCTCCATGAAAGGATAAGCACATAAAGATATTAAATCCAGTATTGATTTAATACTAAATAAAGATGTTTAGCAATGAATCACACCAGAAGCAAATGAAGAAAACAAGATTTGCATTAGTATCCCAACTTAGCCGTGTTCTTCCTAAACCTTTACTTTCAGATTTTTCTTAATGTCTCCATGAGGGAAAAACCATATGAAATTTACTTCCAGGCTGAGCATGGTGGCTCATACCTGTAATCCCAGCACTTTGGGAGGCCAAGGCAGGAGGGTCACTTGAGTCCAGAAGTTTGAGACCAACCTGGGCAACATAGCAAGACCCTGTCTCAATTTAAAAAAAGTAAATTTACTTCAGTAGAGTTAACTCTTCACAACCAAATTATTCACACATAAGCTTCCATATCACTTTGTGAGAAAAAGACATGGCATAGCACCTACATAACCAGGGAGTTAGAGAGTCTGAGGGCCACACCTGACTGAAGTAACTGAACCTGCTTTGCTGGCTGTGGGATGGCAGGCTCCTTACCAAGCCCATGGTGAGTCTGTCCCAAAGCTTTCCCCCAGTTTCTTTGTTTTCTTGATAATTATATACAATACACATAATTTAGTTTGTCTAATTTGTAACAGGTTACAACATAAGGCATTTCTCCAAACTCTTACTGGGAATCTTCTACTAGTAATAATAGCAACAAAGAGTTTACATAGCTGTTATGTGCCAGGCACTGTTCTAAGCCCTTTACATATATTACCTCATCCAGCCCTCACAGCAATTCCATGAGAAAGCTACCGTTATTATCCTCACTTTACAGAAGAGGAAACTGAGGATCAGAGAGGTAAAGTAGCCAAGGTCATTGTGCTCATCAGCAACAGGCTAGAGTCTGAACCAGTCCACCTCCAGAGCTTATGCTTCTAACTATATGAACTCTACTGGCTCTGACTTTTTTTCATTTTCATTGATATTTTAGCAGAGAAAATGCTTCAACTGAGGAAATGCTAATAAGTGGATCTAAGCAGCCTCTAATGCCTTTCAGATTACACTTGCAGCTTTAATCCTATAGTTAGCATTTTATATGAAAAGATACCTGGGTTATGAGTAAGTCCCCAGTGGAACTCTTTGGTCTAAAATGTGTCCTGGTTTCATTTTATTCAATCTTCTTTTACTCTTTCCTTGATCTTTTGATTTCTTAAGGCAGCAGATTTGGCAGACTCCTACATGGTCTGAAATCAAGGCCCCAGTAACTACTCACTCTTTCTTTTTTTTGAGACAGTTTCGCTCTGTCACCCAGGCTGGAGTGCAGTGGTGTGATCTCGGCTCACTGCAGCCTCCACTTTGTGGGTTCAAGCAATTCTCCTGCCTCAGCCTCCCAAGTAGCTGGGATTATAGATGCCCACCACCACGCCCAGCTAATTTTTTGTATTTTTAGTAGAGATGGGATTTTGTCATGTTGGCCAGGCTGGTCTCAAACTCCTGATCTCAGGTAATCCACCTGCCTCGTCCTCCCAAAGTGCTGGGATTATAGGTGTGAGCCACCATGCCCGGCTACTACTCAATATTTCTTGCATTGGCCTATACTGATCAAGAATGAATTCAAAGGTGTGTTTTTTTCCTTATTAAGTTGCATAGATTCTTCAGAGTTTGCTAGATGTTTCAATAAAAGTAAGTTTTAGTAAAGTTAGTGGGATCATGAATGCATAAGGCTTCTAAATAAGAATGGCAATTTTAGCAAGCAAAGATGCTGATTAAAGTTACAGAAAAATGCTTTTTTTTTTGCTTTTTTTTTTTTTTTTTTTTTTTTTGGTAGTGGTGGAGAGATAGGGTCTCTCTCTGTCACCGCCCAGGCTGGAGAGTGCAGTGATGCAATCT